GAAAAATGGGGATGTTTATGCTGATCGACCTAATGATTCCCTTTGGGTTTGTATTCTAAGAAAATATTTCAAGCAAGGACAATATATATTAGAAGATGTTCATGGTGTTACACTGTGCAACAATGGAAGTCATATAAGGAGACCAACGAAATGAATTGTAGTATAACTCAATGGAACTAGTGGAAAAGTCATCTAGCTGGAAAACAGTGACTTAGAAAATGGCAAGATTGAAAATGTGTGTGGTAAAAATTAACAAAATCACAAATTTAATAGTGATGAGAGACTGAAAAAATAACTAGTGTTTTCCTTTTCTTTATTACCCTGATCGATCCCAATTTACGGAACTAGCATAAGGCAACAGTTGCTTTCTGGCAATTGTAATGAGGCAAAGAACAGAGACATCACATTCTTCTCTTTGATGCCTAGCTTCATGTATAAGACAGAAAATATGTGGTATAATATACAGATTAGCTAAAAATTCTACAAACAAGAGGAGGAAGGGAAAAGTCAAAAGGGAAGAGAGTGCCCCTGACAAGGAGCCAGCAATTTGCCCTCATCTCCCTTTAAGTTCTTCTTCCAAGCTGAAGAAGCTAGTGGACACCCACTCCATGACAAGTTTATGGATTTAGGGAAAGAGAAGACCTGAGCTCAAAGCCAGGCATTAATGCAAAACCTAGAGAAGCTGTGTCCTACGGTAACAGCAGTGAGTAGAGCTGGATGTTGAGGATTGGCAAGCGAGGGCCTTAAGCTTCATGGGTGTGGGGCAGGTGTAGGAGAGCATCTGAGAAGGGCCCACACTTAGGACAAAGAAAACAGATTGTGGATGGACAACTAGAGACTGAGGAATACAAGATAGTCTTATTGCAGACATCAAGTGGAAGGATGGATGGGAAGGTCAGCGCGGAAGATTAGCTATTGTATCCATTCCTAAAGCAGCTGTTAACAAAGTAGCACATACTAAAATTTATTCCCTTTCAGTGTCAAGGTATTATAGGACCATTTTCCCTCTGAAGAAGGCTCTCAGAAAGTATCATTCCTTGCTTTTTTTCTAGATTCTGGTAGTGGCCTTTGCATATAGCAACATCACTCCAGTCTCTGTCTCCATTGTCACATGGCCTTCTCTATGTTTTTGTACTTATGAGGACTGCCAGTCATTGGGTCTAGGGGCCACTCTAACAGGATCTCATCTAATTACAACTGCAAAGACCCTGTTTCCAAATAAATTCACATTAAGAGGTTCTGGGTGGACATGCATTTGGGGACCACACTATCCCGACCATTATAACTGGGATAACGGACAACTTAGGAGATCCTGGCATAGAACAGGGAAGGTTCATTACCCCCCCCCCCCATCAGCAATGATCCTGAATTGAATGATTGTGTTTACCTGGAATTAATCAAGATGACATTTTTTAGTCATGTAATTACAAGTTGGTTTTAGTTGTAGGAAACCTAAAGGAATGAAATTATTCCTTTAGTATGTATATGACTTGAAAATGTTGCTCCTGTTGTGCTTTTCCTGGTGGTATAAGGGGTTAAAGCATAACTATCCACAGCCACTGCAGCACAAGTTCAATCCCCAGCCAGGGAAGTGACCCACATGGTGTGGCAGACCTCTCTTGTCCTACCCACTGCTCCCCTCTACAATGTATTTCAGCCAGTCTGCCTCTTGTGCTCCTCACTCTGTCTCTGGTGAATCCTCTCACCTACTCATCCACCCCCCACACCTCTGCCCTGTACTCGTTATTGTATGCATACATAAGCAAATCTTTAAAAAGAAAATGTTGTTCCTGCTACATATATATGTATGTATACAAAACAAAAAGGGCTGGTAGAGTAGCAGAATTATTGGTGAATCTTCCCTTAATTATGGCAGAAAAAAAAATTGTGTTTAGACTATTTCAATTCGAAGATTGATGCTTGTTGTTAGGTGAAGTGGTGCAGGGCTCTGAGTACACCCTTCTGGGAAGCCAGGGCTCCCAGAGTTTCCCCTTTCTCTTCCCTGGATGAGCCATCAGTCAAATGAAAGAAGAGGGTAATACATGTGGCTGATTTGGGAAATTCCCTCTAGAAGTTGCAAGTAGCTATGTGACTTTCAGGCAGGTCACAATCACTCTCTGAGCCTACCTTTTAGCTTCAATCATCTCTCAAGTCACCCCAATTCTTTGATTCTATTATTTAAATTTTAAAAAAATTTTAAGATTTATTTTATTTATGCATATAAGAACTGGGGTGTATGTCAGAAGTGTGTGGGGGATGAGAGGATTCACCAGAGACAGGTCACAATCACTCTCTGAGCCTACCTTTTAGCTTCAATCATCTCTCAAGTCACCCCAATTCTTTGATTCTATTATTTAAATTTTAAAAAAAT